ACTATTGTAATTCTGTTCTAACTCAACCACTGCTAGTTGGCTAAATTTTCTTTCTGAAGGTACTGCAGGCATTTTCTTACAGTTAGATATGAGGGGCTTAAAGCTTAAAGTCCACCAGTGTTCAGTAAATTGCTGCTTTTGCATTCTGAGAAAAAGCTGGAGAGATAGGCTTATAGCTCAACATCAGACTACTCTGTGCTGGCAAGCTCTTGACAGTCTTTCAGCCCTATCCTTCCTGACCTGGAGACCTAACAGCCTCAAGGTATAGTTTTCCTGGAGTTACTCAACCACTGGTATCTTCCTTCAGTCATAAGCAGTGACTACTTCTCACTGTATTATGTTTGGGTTTTTTTACCCTAAGCTTGGCTCCCTATTTCTAATCCAATAAAAAACACATTTTGAAGACTTGCACCACTTGCTGCTGTAGTATTTGGAATATAAATATAAATAAGTTGGCAGTTTTTCTTTTTGGGGTAAGTACCTTGAATGTTTGAGGGGGTATTAATCCTGGTTTCGTTTGCTGCCCTCTCTAATGCAGAGGTTTTAAATGATGCTAGGCTTTCTTGATCACTAATACTTAATTTTTCCAATGTGGGATAATTTACTGTTACATGATCGATCTCAATTAGGAATAGTGAGGCAATAACCTTATATCTTAATTAAATGGACTTTGTGATGCAGATTCGAATCAACATGATTTAAGTTGACCTTTCGCTTTCATGTCAGCACTGGGAGGACAGACAATATTTGACTCAGTAAGAATCACAATACAAGAGTAAAATATCCATATTGATAAAATGGATACTCTTGATTCAGCAGTAGAGGCCCTAGAAGCAGAGCTACTGAATAAAGATGCAGAGCCCTAGATACCTAGTGAGAGCTGCTACTAGCTCATACTAACAATTACATAGAAAAGTAGTGTTGGTATTCTGTAAAGCTCAAGGTTTCTACCACATTATGAGTTTGCTAATGAAACTTCATGTGGAATAAGAATGACATATCTGGGCTAGATCCATCTAATCCTGTACCTTGTCTCTGATAGCGACAGTAGTGGGAATATAAAGCAGAATAGATGAGTGAGGCAAAGATGTAGCTCCTGAGTCAAAGGTAATGTCTTTCAATTTAAAAGAGAGCAATGGAGGTGGCAGGTTGAGTACTAAGCTCTTTGTTCAGCCTGCTTCACCTGGCACTGGTGTGCATGCTGGGAGCAGGCTCTGCTTATTAGTCTTCAAAGTGATGTGCTGACAGTACTATGTAAGTGATCAAGAACTGCAGTGTCTCTGACTGCAGTACTAATATCCTTCATCTAGACAGAAGGTAAAACTGTGATCCAAAGATGTCAAACACAATTGCTTATGTTTCTGAAGCTTCAATTATGGCTTTATCTTGAAATGCTAAGGGTCTGCATTAAGCCTGTTGTAGAAATCATTCTTACAAAAGCTTAGTTGACTACTCTGCCTTATTCTGTTGATACTAGGATAAAACAAGTAAAGGTTTAATAAGGATTTCAACCAGGTATCCCACACTACTCATTTTACATGAATGATTATATACTCATGTCTGTTTAGCTATTAATTACCTTGCCCTTTGGTACAACTGCTAACTAAAGACTAAATTCATTCCTATTTTTATTAAAGCGAGTGTACTTGGGGCTGTAATGATGAGCAACAGACTAAATCCGTGGTGGAAGAGAATTACAGCTGAAGCCAGAAGGGGTTTAGGAGATTAACATTACATTTTTTGTGGAAGAGAATGATAGTTTAATAAAATATGAAACAGGATTATTGCTGTAGATGACCTTAAAATACTGAATAGCAAAGGGCAGAGTGGCAATTGTACATACACATATAGCTGCAACTAGCTGAGGGCGAGTCCTTGCATATAAAAAAAAGACAATCAAAATGACATAAAAGGCCCTAAATACTGAATGCCTGTTTTCATATAGTTTAATGTGAATGTTAGCTTACCAGAGAAGCAAACAAAAATAAACTCAACTATTTCTCCCATTCTGTTAAGACTTAAACTGTATTCAGAAAGAGATGAAAAGCAAATTTCAGTGAAAGAGCAAAAAAGCAAAAGAGGTTAAAGCAAATTTCATGGTGTTTAACTATGGTATTATAACTGCCTGGGTAGGCTTGACAGTCTCTCAGGTTGGCTTTCCATTCTCATGCAAACTGCATCTCTCTGTGTTCCAGGACCCCCACTGTGCACCAGGGGTGTCCATGTGGCAGGACATACTATTCTGCTGGGCACAGTCCTTTACCATCTCGGTGTGTGTAGTGCAGCACTAAGCTCCTACAAAGAGCAGATAATTTCTTTGTCGTCATGTTCTTGGAGACTGTTAGACATGGGCTGCTGCTGGGGAGTGCAGTCTGCCTCCATCAAGTTCTCCCAGAACTCTGATGGCAATGAGCTATATTTTTCTAAAGACCTCTCTTGTTTTGTTTATAAGTGCTGACTTTTAAAATAAACTCCAGCAAGCATTTCCCATGTGTCTTAGTTCAACTGAGACGTGCAACAGGTTATTGCCTTAGCTTTTTGTGGTAAACGTTTCATTTAATTCAGCAACACCAAAGCCTATGAGATAATGCTGAGATTTGCTTGAACACAGTGCCAAAAATAAGGCATTGGAAGAATGATTTGTGACTGACTTATCATTCATCTTCTGTTATAACTGAGTTTTAGGCTACATAGACTGAAATGGCACTTCAGTGACTTTTGCTAGCGTTTTAAAATAATGCATTTTTAATAATATGGTGACATATTTTCCAAGGATGCTGGTTTAGTTTTATTAGATTTGGTCAATTTTTTCATTGCACAATTTAGCACCAGTACTACCTAGACTTATGCTATCAGATATTTCATTATAGCTATGTTTTAGTTTTGTAAATGTTTACATTTTAGTAAGCATATCAAGTAATCGTACACCCACAGGTGTTAAGGCCTTGCTGTACTTTAATCATAAACTGTTTTCCCCATGTGCAGTTTATTTGTGCTGAATTTGCAATGCAAGGGTAAAAGTCTTTGGTGCTTGCTGAAGGAACATACCAAAAAGGTATAGTAAACCAAGTGATTTCATTGAAACCTGGCAACCTTGGTGTGCTGTACCCCAGTCTGGACAGTTCAAGTGGTCACTGAGCTCCCTGTAAATGAATACCTTGGCTCTGACAGAAAGGTTAGGGAGAAACTTGCCCACAGTTACTCTGCCTGTGTGCTGTAGTCAGGCTGGCATTTAGGTATGGGTATCTTCGAGCATTTCATTTGGGATGTATCTCTGATGTGAGACAATTGCTGTGAGGAACTGAGTTATGTATAAAAGCCATATGGCTTCTTTTCATAATGGTCAGTTATCTTCTGAGCATTTACAGTATTAAATCCTCATTATGGACAATGCATGCTGGTTCCAAGTCAGTACTTGTAATGTGGGCTGAACAGTGTGTTCATGGAGCAGGGTGCTCTGTGCCACCATGGTTTTTGCAGCTGTCAGTCTCCAAGCATGTTGCAGTCTGCAAGAAGTGATGCAGCCAATGTCTGTTACATGTTGTTTAGTCTCTTAGCTTTTCCCCTGGAGAACAAATGTGCGTGCTGTTATTTGTACCCTTTTGCATGGGTTCTGTTTCAAAACAATCCACAGCTGTGTTGTGTGGTAGAAAGAGAAAAGGGCAAGATTAAAGTGTGTTTTGCATACAGATTGGGATGTGGTAAGGCTTGTATTAGCTTCTGTGAGAAGTTTTTGAATGTCCTTCAGGAAAACTTGGTATCCTGCACAGCTGAGCTTCACCTTTACAGAAACATAGCTGATTGTGCCAGTGTGTCATTTCTGCTGATGACATGATTTTCATCCTGCAGCTTTGGGAGAGGTCTTAAATGTATACCTACAGTAACCAAAAGCTACTTCATGATGAGCAGATAAGAATGGTGACCTGGCATTAGGCTTTTTTAGTGAGGGAAGCCATGATGGGAGAGTAGAGTGAGAGCTGTTAATGATAGTTTCAGTTGCAGAGGAGAGGTGACACAGTATCTGTGTTTATCAGAATTTATTGGGAGCTGTTTTCTATCTGGGTGTGTTCTGCTGTAGTTAAGACTGTGGCATCTGCCACAGAAATGGGATAAATCTTTTAGCTGGTTTGGGATAGAAAGAACCAGCCAAAAAGGCATTACTTATAGTTTCTCTGTGCAACTGAAAGAAGGACATAGCACTCAGTTGGGAATTAAACATGAAGCAATTTCCCATTTCTAGAAGTTCATTAATACTTTTTTACCCTTATATGAAGTTCTATGAAACTTGATAAATAAACATTTGTTTTAGTTAAATCTTCATCAAGAGATACAGTATCTTTGTCCAATAGATTGTACTTTACTACCAGTAAAAATGAACAGCAATACAACACATTATCAAAAAAAAAATCCATCCAAAGAAGAGCCTCCCACAGCCATTCCAGCTGCACAGGACAGTCAACTACTTTAAAGAAACAGATGGTCCAGATAAAGGAGTAACTACAAGTTAGAAGAAAAAGAAACAGAACAAAACCAAAATAACCCCGAACATAAAATCTTCCCCAATTAACTACGTGATGGATCATTTGGAGCTATATCAATTTACAGAATCATGGGAGCTGCAAAGTAGCCAGATGCTGCCCTATTCTCCAGAAACTTCCCTGTGCTCTTCAGCAAGGTACACTACACTAAAAAAATGCCAAGACACTGCAATTTTTATCTAGTTTAGTCTCAGGACTCCAGCTGCAAACAGCAACCTGGAATGGTCAAGGCATGAGGGTCCTTGCTGGATTTTACCGGCTTAACAACCATGGCATCCCCCCAGAATCCATTTTTCACATTGAAATTATAGGAATGCACCACATGAATTCTTCTAAAACCTTTACCAGTCAGACTGCACCCCCCTTGGCCTAGAGTGGCTTTACCAAAACAGGCCCTAATTAACTATTTTTAATATCACCGTGTCCTGTCCGTCCATCCCCCGTTCCCCCCCCCCCCCCCCCCGCCTTGAGTTGAGCCCTGCGTGGCCTGCCAAGATTCCTTTCCTTTTTGGGGTGTGCGCAGGGAGTAGCTTAATCCTGTTAGTATCTGCGACGCTTGTTAGAACCAAAATCAGCCCCTGGATTACCTCGGTTGAAGGCAGGTGGATTCCCTCCCATTGCTCCGAGGCCCTCCATCGCACCGCTCTGGCCAAAGCGGTCTGCAGGTGGTGGTGGAGTCATTCCCATGGCTCCATCACGTATCATAGCTCCAGGACCAGTCGCAGAAGGTGCAGCAGCTGGGACATTGGTACCACCCATGGCTCCTCTATTGTTCATGCCAGTGGTGCTTCCCATACTCATCTGTCCCATCTGCATGTCTGGTAGCTCCCTCGTATCAGCAAAATTCCCTTTAAAGCCTTCCTGCTGGCGTCTCATCATCTCTTCTTGCTGCTTTCTCATTTCCTCCTCATGGCGCCTGTGCTCTTCCTTTTGCCTGAGTTCCAACTGTTCATGTTTTTGTACTTCTTCGTTATGCAATTCCTCCATTCTCCTCAGCTCTTCCTGGCGTCTCATTAGATCTTGCCGCATGAGCATAACCTGGTGCTCATGGCGTGCTGCTTCCATTTCCATTTCCAGCTTCTCTCGAGCTTCCTTGATGTTGCAGTCTACTTGCTCTTGCGGCTGTTTCTCCATTTCTATTAGAGCTTTCCAACGCATGGCATATTCATATTCAAAGCTACCAGGCTGTGCAAACCGAGGAGGCTGCTCACGCTCCTTGTGATATTGCTGGTTTTTAATGATTAACTTCTCTGGCAGACCCTCTTCATCATCATACTGATCCATGGGCTCCACAGTGACAAGGAGAGGGAATGCAGTTAGCAGGAAAGACCCATCACTACATCTATCCAGGGCTTTCCTAGTAGCAGGCTTCCCTGAGAGCTCCGCAATGCCTTTCCCAGAGGATCGTCCTCTGTCATCCACAACAACCACAGCCCTTTCCACCTGGCCAGACACTGAGAAGGCTTCCTCCAGGAGCTCATTGGACACAAACTGAGGCAGGTTCCTGACTGTCAGTGATGCACTGTGGCACGCAAAATGCACTCTTAGCAGCTTCCCACATAGAGGCATGTTGTCTAGTTCCACCTTTGCAATCTCTGCCAGAGTGCGAGTTTCCAGCATGATAAAGCCAAAGCCTTTATCCTTGTGGATGAAGACTTCACCTGCCTTGCCATACTTCTCAAATAACTTTCTCATCTCTTCCTCTGTAATGTCAGGGGGCAGATTCCCCACAAACAGGCGGCTTCTTTGGGTGAAGGTCTTTTCACCAGGTTTCCAGAAGTTCTTCAGGTCAATAGTCAGGCCTTCATTCTGGCTGTTCGCCTGCTGCCCGTTGGCGGGGATGGACGGTGGCAGGTGCGGCTGGTGCTGTTTCCGCGGAGCGTGGTTCTGCTTCTCCATGTTGAAGCCCTTGCTGCCCAGTATCTTCCCCACCTGGCGACGGACTCCGGCTCCGCAGCAGATGGTGGCCTGCAATCCCTTCAGCGGCACGGAGGAGAGAGCGCGTGCGCAGGCAACACTCACACAACCTAACCAGGCGCCCCAAACTGGAGGTTAATGACCCAATGCAGCAGCATACCTAAGCGCTTGCTTAACTTTAAGCAGGTAGACAGTCCTTTTGAATTCTAAATATTAAACCATCACACCAGTGGAGTGAGTAGAAGACTCCCACTGGCTTCAGTGAACCAGGATTCAACCTAATTCCCTAATTAAATGATTCTGTTCTTCCAAAAAATTATTAGAAAGATAAATGTTCAGTAACTGCTTTGAGTATTTTTAGTGAAATCTATTTGCTTAGGACAAAGATTTTCCATGACAGTGAATCAAATACTTTTGTGATTTCTGACTGTGCAAGTGATTAATAAGAAGGTGAGATAGTGCATATGTGGAGTATTCTCTCTTGTTAGTGATGTTGGACTCCCTTGTTCTGGTGAATTAGCTTCAGTCATTTTCTCATTTTTCTGTCTCCAGTTGTTGAAATCAAAGATGGCAAAAGACGTTTAAAATACTTTTGCAAAATCAGCTCTTAAGATTACATTTTAATTTTTTACATTCAGACTTGAATGCAATTATTTATAAGAGAAAAGACTGAAGAAGGGGTTCCTTCTCTTGCGAACAATTTCTCCATTATTCCTTCTGATTTAATTGGCCTAAAGCAAAACTCCCCCATATTTTCCAGTAAGAGGAAGAAAAGGGACTTTTTATTTCTGCTCTAAGAAAAAGCATGATCTGTCAGCCTCTCTTTAAATAAACTGTTGTATTTACCACTTTTGAACGGGAGAATGATTTTGCGTTTGTAAAATTAGCCCTAAATATTTGTCCAGGTTTTCTGAATGAGGTGACTAGCATGTCAAAAAAAACCCCAAACCAACAAACAAAAAAGTTGCCTAAACAAGGCCCACCACCACACAAGAAGATCACATTGTTACAGAAATGTGGGTCACGGCAGGATATGCTTCATATGTTTGATTGAATCTTTTTATGAATGGCACACTTTCATGCATTTCTTATTAAAGGAAACGTAGTGTTTTCATTTATTAGGAGGTAGGAGTGAGACTAGTATTAAAGAGATTATAGTGTATGATTTATTCATCGCCAGCTGCCAGTGCTTCCGACCTGTGAGATGATACCTTATGAGAGGGCTTTCTAAGGGCAGGAGAGTCAGGATTTCAGCTGATGTCCTGGGGGAATACACTTTTCAAGGACATGCTCTCCTCTATAGAGACCTTGACTCAAAGAAGATTGGGAATGCCATTTGCACACTACATCTGCTAATACATTTGAAGGAAGGTTGTTTCCCTTTTCCATGTCCATACTGAACAAGGCAGTACAGCACAGACACTGAGTTGGCAACACCAGCTCAGGTGAGTATCACATACAGTATTACATTTCCAAGAAGAGATGTGGGCTGGGAGTGAGCCCTAACTCTAGTTCCCACATCAGCTCATACAGATCCATGTTGTCTGTCTCTGCCTTGTATTGTGTTGTCTTTCCATTTTGGACTCAGGCTGCCAGGGATCCAGACAGAAGACTTTATGCCAAAATATCCTAAAAATTGAAACTGATTGAGACAGAGGTTGCTAGTAGGCTAGCTGCAAAAAAATTTCTTCTCTTCCCAGGTGATCCAAGGTTAAAGTTTCCTTGGACTTGGAGAGAAGGCAGAGCTTTAGTAGTTCTGGAAAAAATGAAAAAGCTATGCACAAGTTCTCTTTCCTACTGCAGCAGTCCATAAGGATGGAATAGGAAGATGATGTGTCTTGTCTGTACTGATGCAGAACTGTGTGGGGATGTTTTTATTTTATTTAGAGGTATTCCCTATGATGGTAGGATAACTTGCTAAAAGAAAATAGCATCTGATTTGGACAGATGTCTGTCATTGTAATTATAAGCTTTCAGGTGGTTAGTGACAGCAAAAATGGTTGGAATCAAAATATTTAGGCTGCCTCCCAAGTGTGTTCTAAATCAGGTTGAGCTCTCATGCAGAAACTTAAAATAAATAAGTGCATCCTTCCTGGGGCCTTCTGCACACACAGATACAAAATAGTTCTTATCTGAGAAATGTCAAATGCATTTGGTAAAGCCAGAAACTGAATCCATAAAAAAAACCCACAGAATAAAATGCATGTATCCCTTCTCTGTAATGTTAGCATGAGTCGACTTCACTATTTTCTTTCCAGTAACATCCAGAACTAGTCCACAGTTTCAGTCGGCCACTCCCAATTTGGAGCACTAACAACAACCACAGAGGGGTTTTAGTAAGTCTCTTTTCTTTGGTTTCCCTTAAGGGGACTTGCATCAACTCTAGACAGAGATTTAGGTTTTCTGTTTTAAGATCTTAGCTCTGCTGTTCTCCTGTTTTATCTCTCCCTACAAATCCTCAGGTGGTGCAATTTCTTATCATGGAATAATCTGTTCTGTGTCTTTCAGGGAAAGCATAATTTTTGTCTCTGTTAGCCAAGTCAACAACTGGGAGTGAGAAGATTTGAGGCTCTTGAGCAGATTCATTGCTTGGATTTCCTTCTTGCTTGGGAGTGTTTTCTTCTCCCCAGACACCCATTCAAGGCAAGAACTTTTCCTTGTCCAAGCTCCTCTCATTACCCAGGGCTGCCTTTCAATACCAGATTCGTATTAGTCAAGGTTTATGCAACTTTCCAAATACTACAAGAGAAAGAAGAATTCTTTGCCAGCTGTAATTTTAGGATGCGGGCATAGGTGATGATAATAGCTCTTCAAATGAGCTAATTAGTAGATGATTAACAGATGAAAACATACTATAAAGACTTTCTTGTATTCCACTTGTCCTCCTCAAGAACTAACCCTGACCTAAGTCACTTCCATCTCTTTTTTCCTTTTTGTTTTGATATTTTAGGAGGCTTTTTTCCTAGGGATGTTATATTTGCTTTAGTGCCTTTTCATATCTTATTTGAAAACATTACTTTACACAGTATTCACTTCGTAATTAACAATTAACAGGCTTGCTTCCAGTCATAAACACTGAAGTTCTCTAGATGTTTATTCTGATCTCTCTTAAAGATGAATCATACAGGCAAACTCCTTTAACCTCAAAATGGAATCCAGATTGCCTGCAATTGCCTGCAGAAGTTTGAATTAACACAGTAAAGCCTTTCTCACTTCACAAGCATTTTTTTTTTTGAGTTCAGAGTCACTCCTCAGCCTCACCTACAGGAGGCTGATTGATTTGGTTTGATTTTTTTGTGTCCTGCCTTCACATTGGATCTTCCTAAAAGTATGAACAGCACAGGCACTTGCACTGATCAGCTGTGGATGATTTGTGTAGACTAAAAGATGGGTTATTGCTGGCAATCGGCAACTGTCAAGTCATGAGAAGAGAAATTGCTTGTGTTCTACACCGCATGCTCAGACGTTTCAGCTCTCTGATCGCCATGGTTGAAATATGACTTGCAACAGGTAAGAAATATCCCTGGTTATGGGGTTACACAGGAAAAGGTGTTTTCTGTCTCTCTGTTCACTGAAATTTTAATATCTCCATGTCTGTGACCGGAAAAAGGGATATGGGGTTTTTCCCTGCTGGAGTTGAGAAGTCATGGAATTTTCTGTTTTGATAAAATTCACGGGTTTTGAAACTGCTCCTGCATTGTAGCTATCTTTTATAGCTGTCTGTTTGTTTTTTTTTTTTTTTAAAGGGTTCAGTTTGCAGCCAGCTGCTGATCTTTGGAAGAAAAAAAAAAAAAGGCAAAGGATCTAGCCATGTGGACATGTTCCTGTCTTGGAGACTCCCAGGCCTATAGCCATCTGCAAAGAAGATGGCAGAGCCTAGGCTGATCTGCAGCAAAGGTGGCACTTACAGAAGAGTTGAAGGCTGGTTATGGTTGTTAACAGGCTTTCATCTCTCTGTCACCTGGGAGATGAGGTGACGCTTCAGATATCACCTGAGGAAGACTTCTGGCATTAAGGGTAAGGAAGGAGTCAGCTTCCAAGCTGTTCTCTCTGAACAAATTCATTTCCCAGTGGAAAAATGTAGTGTTCGGAACATCATCTGGCCATCTTCAGTTCCTGTTTTATTCAGGGCTTGAGCACTCTGGTCCTAATTCTTCAGTTCCCTAAATTTCATCTAATCATTTATACCTGTCAGATATGGGTTTAACAGGCTTTGCTGTTCTGCTTTTATGCCTTTCTTTGTACTTTTACAGTATAAATAACATTAGAACAGTAAAATCAACAGAATAAATGGCTAGGAGAGGTGGGATGCAATAAGAAACAAAGGCATGTGATATTAAAAAAGCAAGATACACTCAATCCACTGCCTATCTGGTTTCTATGTACTGTTCGCTCAATAAGGCAATAAGGTCCACCAGAAAATTTTGGAAAATGAGTCCCTCAGAGAAAAAGCAAGGGTTGTACCTGTGACAGATGGTTTGGTTTGCAGATACCTTTGGTTTGTGCTGTGTGCCAAGAGGTTTGTGGAGTTTGTTCAAAAGATTGAGATGCTGTGGGGGAATGGCGATACATCCTGAGTTCTGCTCAGCTCCTTGGGCCAGTGGAGTAGAGGAGTTATCCACCCTACAGTGGAGTAGGGAGTTATCCACCTATTTTGCCTACAGATGCTCTGAAATTTAAGCCAGGTTTTTTGTCATCTTGGGAAGCACAAACTAAGATCCTCCACGTTATAAAAACTGAGGAGAACACTGTAGGGTTATAAAAATGTGGAGATTTCTTTGTAGCTCATTGTGACTCTTGATATAACTGTTTAGTGGAGGATATGTGACTAAACCACCCCCGTAGCAGATTGTTAATGGATTTCCAGAGCTGGTCCTGAGAGCTGGTGGTTGGCATACTCTTGAAACAAGCTCATTTGTGATAGGGGGTTGACAGGTCACCCACTTTTCCCTCAGGTTCTCTGTGCAGCTGAAGTGGTATAATTAGCATTTTAAATACAGATAGTGCTTCAAAGAAATTATTTCAGTTAAAATGACCATATGGAAAGGTTGCAATATGTGTTTTATGCATTCATGTCCATCTGCCTCACCTGAAGAACTGTAGTCTGAAGTAGCTAAG